TCTGCTTTCCAAATTATGAACTTCAACTTCGACAATTCAGATGAAGTATTTGTGCCTGGCCTTAGGGCTTTTCGCCCTTTCGGCGCTCTCATTCGCTGAAGAAGAGGTTGGTAACTTTTGAAGAAATGTCTCTTTTGTCGCCAAGGAAGGCAACAAGCAAATTACTTAATCACTGGAGTTTATACTGCTTCATTATAGCTTTCCGAAACCGGTCAAGCCGTTCTGGCAAAGATCAGAGCTCTAAAGGAGGAAGAGAAGCAGCTCCTGAAATCCATCACTGATGAGGATCAGAAGGACTTGGTAGGTACATTGCGCTAAGACTTTTATTCATAAACGTAATCCTTAGAGAATAAAGAGTGGAATTCCAGGTCGAGTCTATCGTCGACAAGGAAGAGGAAGAAGAAGACGATAAGGCTATAGCTACGCTAGAGAAAGAGGAAAAGGAAACTAAGGAGGAGGTTCGTCCCGGTTCCACTTCTCTCTGTTGCTTTCCGCTTTTGCATTTTAATTTTTGCATGAATTTCAGACAGATGAAGAGGAGGGAAACGTTCGTGAGAAGCGAGCTGCCCGAGTACGTTGTTTCCTTGCATAGCCAGCTCTTCTTACATAGCATTGCATCTGCACAGCTTCAATGTGATGTTGCTTTCAGAGAAGAAGACGAGGACGACGTGGTCATCGAGGACGCCGTCTCGCTGCTCATCGCCGCCGTGCCCACCGCGCTCGCCATCGTGCCAACCTTCGCCGAGCAAGACGCAATCATAAAATCAAGAAGATCCGCGCTCTGCAAGAAGCGACGAGGATAAACCTCTGTCCTCATTCCCAGCCTTAATTATTGCTCTTTCTGTTGATAAATGCTATTTATCTCATTTCTTTTCTGTTAAGATGAACCACAGATTTGCTACGACGGAATCGTAAGTTGCTCATTTGACCCAGGCTTCCGCCCAGGCCAGGCACTTACAGTCTGGGGACAGTACTTTAGTAACATTCTTTTCGGGTTATAAAAACACTAACTTCTACATCAGCAAGCACTGCTTGTCGTCGCATAGACTATGCCACATTCAGTAAGCTCCCACGATTTCGGACGGAAGCATTGTGCTTGTCGTATACCAAAATGGGATTGATGACGCCGAAATCTCCAACCTTTTTTCAGTATCGTGAGCAACGATTGAGCTTTAATGAGCAAAAGGTGCATAATCATAGCAGGTGTTCCTCCCACGCAAAGTTCTGATATGTGGACAACAGTCCTCACGAGTATTATAGACGCACCGTCATGCTTCAAAAGTGAGCTGGTGCATCAGGCAATT